GGTGATATATTCTCTGATGCCTATTTTTTTGGCTTCTAATGAAGATATAATGTGATTCATGTGTGTAGTCACTCTTTATATTTCATAAGAGGTAATGTTTCAGTTGAACCACTGAAATTGCCATTTTCTAGTTCAAAAAGAAATGAATATCAGTATTTTCATACGGTTCAATCAGATGATAACCCAAGTCGAGAAAGTTTTTCAAAGTACCTATTATTTACCTGAGATAATGTGATAGAAGACATATTAACCTATTAACAGGAAACAATATACACCTTTCTATATAAGTTAATTCTAATCAAAATTACTGCTTGCTTATGCTTTCTCTGAATAATGCCTTCCACAATCTCTAACCTATCAATAATCCCAATCTTCAAAGGTCCAAATTTTATATATTTTTAATTCTAGCCTATACAAATTGAGTTTCTGAATATTTTATTCCTTTATTCATTTATTGAGCATCTATGATATACCAAGTGCCATGTTAACAGCCATAGAGTACATATGAAGATTTCATAATATCTAACAATAAAGCCAGACCTGTAAACAACTAACTTTAATACCATGGAATACAATAATAGAAATATAAACAAATCATTGTCAGGTCAGAGAAAGCAGCAATGAACAATTTCTATGAGTATCATTGTCAGTTGGCATCTTTAGTATTATTCTTGCCAGTTGCATTCAGCAAAGGAAAAAATTCCATTTATAGTACTATATTTATTTCCATTTTTTCCTTAAATCTGCAGCTATCAGTTATCCACATGTATATACTATGTTTCTGTATATAAACAAATATATGAAAGAGACTTTTTAAAAATTTCCTAAAATGACAAGGACAAACAGTTACAGTTATACATTTGAACTGGGAAGGGGCACAATAAATCAGCACTGGTTTTGAAGACATCAGATATTCCAATTTTGTCTTTACTAACTTTTCTGATCACCTGTGGCATTTTCAGTTTAGAACAGTCAAGAGGAAATACTTCCTATCTGTTCAGTTAAGTAGTTTTGAACTCTTCGTGGAAAAAAAAGTTTACCTTTTCCAGGTGAAACCAATATATTTTAATGCTTCTTCAGCTAAACAGTCAAGAACATAGCATACATGCTCTCCATAACCTGACTTTAATTTTGAAGGAGGAAAATCTGCAGTTCTCCCCTGAAATATAAAAGATAAATTGTATTATTTGTTATTTATATTTCAATGTCAAACTATTTTAAACAAAGCACTGCTGAATAAATTTATCACTTCTCTATTTTTCAAATATGATTTAACATAACTATAATTACATTGCTTCTTAAAAATCCACTCTTTAGTCTTTTTCTAATCCATTGATACATAAAAAAACTAAGAGAAAATGAAGATATTTTATTGTCAAAAGTATCAAATTAAAAGGCAATAACATCTCCTGACAGAATAAATCACTGGTATTGTTAGGGTTAAAACCAATAGAACTACTAGCTTGGTATCATATCATCAAACAACTGTATGAAGGACAGAGTGATTCATATCAAAAATTAATAACAGGTTGCCAAAAATGCTTATGGCCTATCCCCAGAAAAAGTAAGAAATTAAAAGTACAATTGATATTATGGTCTATTAAATCAAAGTTCTCTTTCAAAATATAGTGTTTCAGCTTTCTAGTTTTTTTAAATCATTTTTTTAGAGGAGAACTAAGTAGCCACAAATTTACCTCTGTGACATATCAAGATTAAGAAAAATATTACTTTGGGCGATCAAGAGAGTTACACTGAATATTTTTAGAAGTGGAGCTAATGTTATAATATCAGTCATTCTGATATAACATTACATATGTATGTACGTATATGTGTAAATATGTGTGTGTGTATAGTTATTTACAGAGAATTCATTAAAAAGGCTAGAATTATTTTGTTGAAATTACCAATTTTAAAATTCATAACATGAGAGCATGCAGAAAGTAGAGTTGTTTACACTTACAAATGATCGAAGCTCAGATAATATGTTAGATATTGTAGCATTAGGGTCATCATATTCCTGAGGCTGCTCAAAGGGACGTCCTGCCTTGTTAATCAACCAAGCAGCGAGAGTGCAAAACATGTAGAACTGTTCGCCAGGGTTGGTAGGCAGTGCAAAATAGTGTCTGTGTCAAAATAAGAGGGGAGGGTAGAATATGAAATATTGCAAAGTCTATAGTCCAAGATTGCCAAAAGACCTTTTTTTCAAATGGCTTTAAAATCAAAAGACATTGATAATTTACTCTTTGAAGTTTCTATGAAGCCACAGAACTTACATTAAAGTTTTTAATCAACAAGATTAGGACAAGAACTGCTGTACAAAAAATATTAGATCAAAAACCTTACAACCAGAAAATGCAGGGCATGTTAAAAAACTGAGCACATAGAACCTTTGCCAAAATATGTGTCAGGAATAATTAATAAGAGTATTTCCTAAAAATGGCAATTTGGAATTAAGAAAATCTCAGAGTTAAAAAAAAGACCTTAATAATTATTCATTATGTGTTTTTACATTTCTTATATCATTGGCATCTTCATTGATTCTAATCTATCAGCTAGGTTAAAGGTTTGTTCTCATCTTGACTGCATATTTGATCAACTGAGGAGTTCGTCATACTATTGCTACTGGATCAAACATTTTTTCCCTCATGAATTAAATCAGGACGTCTAGGAGTGAAGTCCCAATATGGGTGTGTTTCAAAAGCTTCACGTTTATTGACTTTTACTAAATCCCCTAGCCTACTAAAAACAGTCCTATGTGGATCAATATGATTTATACCTAAATATGTTAGGAATAAAATTTGCTAGCAACAACATTCAAGTCAGTTTGATTAAAGACCTTATTTTGCTTTTTTACATGTAGCTATTACTATTATGTTTACAATTATATTTATAGCTATTTTTCATAAGAATCATCAGTCTGCTCGTGTTTCCCAATTTTTTTTCCCTGCAGGATAAATGTTAATGTCCTGATAGATAACAGAAAGCTGGGAAGTAAAAAAGGTTTACAACCTGTTCGAAGCACCTACTTATAATAATTCATCTTTTCCTTATTGGCTGATAACTCCACAACAGAAGAATGGATACTGACACATTCTGTAGACCTAGGATAGATTCTCAAACTTTAGCATGCATCAGAATCACCTGGAAGACTTGTTAATACACAGACTTCTAGGTCTCACCCCTAGAATTTCAGATTCAGTAGACCCAGGAAGGGGCTTATGGGATTACAGCTTTAATAAATTCCCAGGTGAGGCTGATTCTGCTGACCTGATGACCACACTCTGAGAATCATTAAAATAAGATATCTCTATGCAAATCCATGATTCAAAGTATCTTGCTGAATTCCCGAGGAAATAGTACAGAGGTTTTATCAACAGAACCTTAAGGCCACTTTCTTTTAGTTTGAAAAATATACTTGGGAAAAAAATGCATTTTTATTAACACACAAAATGTTGTTTATATTATCCTGATCAATTCATTTAAGTAATAACTCCCAATCCTACAATTTTTATCATGGATCAAACAACACTACTTTTTCCTCTAACTTTCCTATTATGGACTGATTTAGCAATATGGACAGTTTACATAAAACCTATGTATCTTATAATTCAAGCAACTAGAAGAGAGCAGGGAATGAGATCAAAACTGCTGAAGGAAATTATTTGAGCCTAGCTGTAGCCATTAAGAGAAAGAACTAGAGTCTTAATCTAAATTGTCTCTTACACAATAAACAAATATGTATTAATGTGAAGGAAAAGGTATAAAACTTAGCTACATTGATTGGAGGAGAAAGTGTGAGCTGCCTATTACCCTCAGCAACTAATGGCACTGGCTTTGGGATATGATGAATTTTTCCCCACCCGAAGGGCAGAACTATAGGTTCTGATAGAGACAATTCCAATAGCTGTCATTTCATTGCCTATTCCACTTCTCAGGTTCTGAGAGCACTGTTACTGAAAATGCAGAAGTTCTTTAGACCATAGCAATTAGTAAAGTTTACTAATTAGTAAAGTTTACTAATTGCATTGAAAACAGATCTACCAGCTGTAAGAACAGGTACTTGCAGAGGAAAACAAAAACTAGAGATAGATCTAAAATAATAACAGCATTAATCTTTGGGGATAAGATTATGGGTAATTTTAGTATTTTTCTACATTTTCTTGTGTTTTCCTGAGTTCTCTACAATAAGTACTTTTATAATCGGAAAAAGTGTGATTTTTGGAGGTGCGTGCTTTAAAGACTAGACAAGCTGTCTTCCGGTTCTTTCTCCTGTTCTAAAACTTTACACTCTCTACTAAAGTACCAAGTCTAAACTCCGTAAGCACCACGGCCCTCCTCCGTCGCCAAGTTTGGGGTGAAGTGCCCTTTCCTGGCTAGGAAGATGGAGGCCAGTGCTTGCTAACCCGCGCTCGGCAT